CAAAAGCCCAGGACCTGATGGATTTACAAATGAATTCTACCAAACATTCAGAGACGAATTAGTGCCTATCCTTCACAAACTCTTCCAAAAAATTGAGAAGGAAGGGACAATACCAAACACGTTCTATGAAGCCAATATTACACTAATACCAAAACCGAATAAGGACAACACAAAAAAGGAAAACTATAGGCCAATCTCCCTAATGAACACTGATGCAAAAATCCTCAATAAAATTTTAGCTATCAGAATCCAACAATGTATCCATAAGATAATTCACCACGACCAAGTTGGATTCATTCCAGGGGCACAAGGATGGTTTAACATCCGAAAATCAATCAACGTTATCCAACACATCAACAAAAAGAAATATAAAAACCATATGATAATATCAATAGATGCTGAGAAAGCTTTCGACAAAGTGCAACACCCATTCATGATAAAAGCCCTTGAAATTCTTGGGATACAAGGAACATACCTCAACATCATAAAGGCCATCTATGAGAAGCCAACAGCCAGTATCATTCTCAATGGTGAAAAGCTGAAAGCAATTCCATTAAGATCTGGAACAAGACAAGGATGTCCACTCTCACCACTGCTTTTCAATATAATACTGGAAGTCCTAGCCAGAGCAATAAGACAAGAGAAAGACATCCAAGGAATCCAAATAGGAAAAGAAGAAGTCAAACTATCACTATTTGCAGATGATATGATAATATACATAGAGAACCCCAAAATCTCCACAGAAAAACTAATTCAACTCATCAGTCAGTTCAGTAAAGTGGCAGGATACAAAATCAACACGCAAAAGTCAGTAGCCTTCCTATACACAAACAATAAATCTGAAGAAGAAGAAATCAAAAAAACCACCCCTTTTATTATTGAAACAAAAAAAATCAAATATTTGGGAATAAATCTAACAAAAGAGGTAAAGGACCTATACAAAGAAAACTATAAAACACTGTTAAAAGAAATAGAAGAAGACACAAAGAAATGGAAAGACATCCCCTGCTCATGGATTGGAAGAATAAACATTATTAAAATGGCCATCCTACCAAAAGCAATATACAGATTCAATGCTATTCCAATCAAAATCTCAATGGCATTCTTCAAAGAAATAGAACAATTATTGATGAAATTCATATGGAATCACCAAAAACCCCGAATAGCCAAAGCTCTACTGAAAAAAAAAGAAGGAAATGGAGGCATCAAACTCCCAGACTTCAAACTATACTACAAAGCCATAATCATCAAAACTGCATGGTATTGGAACAAGAACAGACATACAGACCAATGGAATCGAATAGAAAATCCAGAAATAAACCCACAGATTTATGGTCAACTAATCTTTGACAAAGGAGCAAAGACTATGCATTGGAGCAAAGAAAGTTTGTTCAATAAATGGTGCTGGGAAAACTGGGTCGCTACATGCAAAAGAATGAAGCTTGACCACTACCTCACACCATACACAAAAATCAACTCAAAATGGATTAAAGAACTAGACATAAGACCTGAAACCATAAAATACATAGAAGGAAATATAGGTGAAACACTACGGGATTTGCACATCAAAGACATCTTTACAGACACATCACCCAAAGCAGTGATAGTGAAGACAAAGATAAACAGCTGGGACTACATCAAATTAAAGAGCTTCTGCACAGCAAAAGAGACAATAACAAAAACAAAGAGAAACCCCACCAACTGGGAGAACATTTTTGCACCCAACACTAATGATAAAGGACTGATCACAAAAATCTGCAAAGAGCTGATGAGACTCAGCAACAACAAAGAAAATAATCCAGTCAAAAAATGGGCAGAAGAGCTAAAAAGAAACTTCTCTGAAGAGGAAATGCAAATGGCCAACAGACATATGAAAAAATGTTCAACATCACTTGCAATCAGGGAAATGCAAATCAAAACTACCATGAGATACCATCTCACACCAGTGAGAATGGCACATATTAAAAAAACTAGCAACAACAAATGTTGGCGAGGATGTGGAGAAAAAGGAACTCTTCTGCACTGTTGGTGGGAGTGCAAACTGGTCCAACCACTATGGAGAGCTGTGTGGAGATTTCTGGACCTACTAAACATAGAGCTTCCATATGATCCAGCAATTCCACTCCTAGGTATCTACCCAAAGGACACAGAAACATCAATTCCAAAGAGCACCTGCACCCCTATGTTTATAGCAGCACTGTTTACAATAGCTAAGCTTTGGAAACAACCCAAATGCCCAAAAGTAGATGACTGGATCAAGAAGATGTGGTACATATATACCATGGAATATTACTCAGCATTCAAAAAAGATAAACACATGCAATTTTATGCAACATGGATGGCGCTGGAAGGGATCATGCTCAGCGAAATAAGCCAGAAAGAAAAAGAAAAATACCGGATGGTCTCACTCATAGCAGGAATCTAGAAAACTTAAATAAGGGACCAGGAAAATGAATATAAGAAAGTGAAAATCAAAATCAACAAAAAACTATGAACCAGAGACACTTTTTGGGGGGTGGGGGGCGGGAGGGGAAGGATTGGGGTCAGAATGGGGCGTTTGCAATTGTATGGGGGAATATAAAAATAAAATTTAAGATAAAAAAAAAAAAAAGATTTATTTATGCATATAAGAACTGGGGTGTAGACCAGAGGTGTGGGGGGTGTGAGGATTCACCACAGAGTGGGGAACAGAACAGGCAGATCCACTGGAATACACTGCTGAGGGGAGCAGCGGGCAAAGCAGGAGAGGTCTGCTGTGCCATGTGGGTCAGCTCCCTGGCCGGCCAGGGATTGAACTCATGCTGCAGTGGCTGCCTATAGCTTGATAGCGCTATGTCTTTAACCCCTGCGCCACCAGGGAGGCCCCTATTTCCATTTTTTAATGAGGAAACGGAGGTATGGAGGTGCTGTCAGCTCACCCTTGGTTGCGCCCTGGTCAGCAGCACAGCCAGGGTGGCAGCTCATGCAGGCGGCTCCGGAGCAGGTCCTTACTGGCTCTCTGGCTGCCTCCCAATGGGCACTGCTGTTTCTGCCCATTCTCTCCGCTGTGCGGCTTCTGTTAGGCGCATGGATGGTTTAGGTGCGGCCATGAAAGTATCTTGGTCATGGGCCTCCCCGGTGGCACAGCGGTTGAGCGCTGGGTTGCGAAGCTGCTCGCGGCCTCTGCGGCACTGGTTCGATCCCGGGCTGCTCCCCGGCCACCTGAGGAGCTTCTGACTGTACCCAGTGCATGTATAAACAAAACAAACAAACGAATAAATAAATAAATAAAAAACATGCCTCTATAAAAAAAACAATAAACAAAAAAAAAAGAAAGTATCTTGGTCAGGAGTCTTCTCAACTTCTTCCACCAATCCAGGCTTGAAGGAAGGTGAACTGGCATTTGGCAAGGACAGCTCAGCCTTCTTCACCACCCAGGGGGTGAAGCTCCCCATGCTCCTCGTTGGCAGCGTCCTCCAGTGAATGATGCTACCTGGAGTTGTGCAGCCTGTGTGTGCCTATCACAGCACGTGGCACAAAGTAAACACTGGCAGAGGATGTGCCTTTCTATTCCTGCCAGTCAGGAACTGGATGTTTGACCTTAAGCCCCTAGGCACCCCCGAGGCTCCATTTCATGACAGCATAACATTTCATGAGGATCTAGTAAAATAAGAATGTGAAAGTACTTTGCAAAATTACGTGATGCTGTGGGGTGTTGTGCTTACCCCTAATTTTCCTTACCTATTTAGCAGAGATAAACCATTCATGGAATTATGTAAAACTTTCCGAAGCTACATTACCTTTGTGGGTCCTCCACCTCTCAGCAAACAAGAGCTATTATTAGGGTGGACTGGGGTGCTGCCCACCCCCTGTGCCTCTCTGAGAGATGCAGCCTGAAAGTGCTGGTTCCAGGAGGGCCGAGTCAGGGGCCCTGAGTGTGTGCTCTGGACTTAGATCTAGTTGAGTCCTCTTAGCAGGCTCTGGTGGCTGATTTCAGTGCCTTGGACCCTCCATTTTCTTTTCTGCAAAATGGTAGTGAGTATGTTGTCTGTGCCTGGTGGTGGGTGTCAGGGAGAACAGCATCTGGGTACAGCAACAGTCTTCTCCCCTCCCTGCCTCCCCTTTTCTCTCTTTCTCCCTCTGTTTCCTTTGTAGCAACGCTATCACTATATGATTCACAAACTGTCAGACTGCTTTCCAGTGCTGCTGCATCATTTTACATTTCCATTAGCAATGAGTGTTCGAATTTCTCCACAGCTTCACCAAAACTTGTTATTTTCTTTTTTTTTGCCTTTTTTTTTTTTTTGAAGATTTATTTATTTATTTATACATACAAGCACTGGGTACAGTCAGAAGCGCGGGAGGGTGAGAGAATTCACCAGAGCCAGAGCGGGGAGCAGAGCAGGCAGAAGGACCGAAGTACACTGCTGAGGGGAGCAGCGGGCGGCAGGAGAGGTCTGCGCGTCATGTGGGACCCTCCTCCGGTGGCCGGGGAGCAGCTGGGGATCGAACCAGTGCTGCAGAAAGGCTGTGGGCAGCTTCGCAACCCAGCGCTCAACCGCTGTGCCACCGGGGAGGCCCAACACTTGTTATTTTCTGTACTTTTTATTCTAGTCATCCTACTGGGTATAAAGTTGAGTGTCATTGTAGTTTGGGTTTGTATTTTCCTGAAGACTAATAATGTTAAGGATTCTTCCATGTGTTCTTCGGTCATTTGTGTATCTGCTATGGAGAAATGCCTTTTCAAGCCCTTTGCCCATTTTAAAATTGGGTTATTTGTAATCTTATTGTTGAATTGTATGATTCTTTATTTTTCTGGACATAAATCATTTGTCAAATATATGATTTGCAAATGTTTTCCCATTTCATTTTCTTAATAGGGTCCTCTTCAGCATAAAAGTTTCAAAAAGCACAAAATTTCCTTAATTTTGTTATAGTCCAGATTATCTATTTTTAATTTGGTTGCTTGTGCTTTATGGTGTCATGACTAAGAAACAATTGTTCTCCTCTCTTGTGTTAAGCTGGGTGCATTGCTCAGAAGATGGGGCTGCCCCTCCGCCTGGTTGCGGCAGTGAATTGCAACGACATCATCCACAGGACCATCCAGCAGGGAGACTTCTCTCTGTCCAAGGCTGTCAAATCAACCTTGGCATCAGCTATGGACATTCAGGTGGGACCTGTGGGCGGGTGTGCTGGTCTGGCCCACGTATTTCTTGGGTGAGCCTGGACAAGGGCTGAGGTCAGTATGGTTCCTGGATCCTGTCTTTCTGCCCAGGTACCCTACAACATGGAGAGGATCTTCTGGCTGTTATCAAACTCTGACTGTCAGGTGACGAGAGCCCTCATGGAGCAGTTTGAAAGGACCCAAAGTCTGAGTCTCCCCAAGGAACTGCATAGCAAGGTCAGTCACCACCCATACATCAGAGCAGCCATAAAACCAGATTTGGGGTTGCAAATCTGTTTGTTGAAAGGAGATGTCTGTTTCTTTCTTTTTTTTTTTTTAAGATTTGTTTTATTTCTGAATGCATACAAGAGCTGGGATGTAGGCCAGAGGTGTGGGGGATGAGAGGATTCACCAGAGACAGAGTGGGGAGCAGAAGATTGACGGAAATACACTGCTGAAGGGAGCAGCAGGCGAGACAGGAAAAGTCTGCTGCTCCATGTGAGTAGCTCCTTGGCTGGGGATCAAACTCATGCTGCAGCGGCTGCCTATAGCTTGATAGCACTGAGACTTTAACACCTTGTGCCACCAGGGATGCCCTGAAGGGGATGTCTATTTCTTGAGTGCCACTGAGAAAAGGAAAGACTGTACAGAATATTAGTTTAAAGTTTGATGGAGTACAACTCCAAACCAACTGTAAGATCTGGACCTGTTTCTGAAACTCAATTTCTTCACATGTAAAATGGGAATAATAAAAGTGGCTTCTCTTAGCACTGAAGATTTAAGTCACTACCCATGAAACACTTGGTATGCTGCCTGGCAATATAGGGCTTGTTGTATCAACTACTACTATTATTCATTTATTATTATTGATTTCCAATAATAGCAACAACTGGAAGTCAGTTTGCTCATCCAATGTGAGGAAATTTTATTTCCTCAGCATGGTTTCCTCAGGAAGCTAGTTGGGAAGGATTGCTTTTATTTTCATGCAATTGCTAATGGTTGCCTATTTTGTGTAAAAACAAAACAAAAACAAAAACGGAGAGGGGGGTTGGATTTCGTATGTCAATTTCCTCTGTCACATTTCCCCCACCAAGTGGCCTTGAAGGTTGTGTATAATTCCAGTGACCAGGACCTCCCTACCATGTAGCTGCTCAAATCATTGCAAAGTTCCTTATGTTGACCTAAAATCTGCTCCTTCTAACTAGTCAGCCCATTTGAAGAGAATCTTTGTTTGCTTGATGAGTCTTCTTAGTTCTTATTGCTGGCCTTTACATGACATAATTTCTGTCTTCTAGAATCTATGCTTTGGATGCTACCTGTCTTACTCAGCTTAGGCTGCTCTAATAAAGTACTACAGAGTAGATGGTTTATAAACACAGAAATTCATTTACCATGGTTCTGGAGGCTAGAATTCCAAGATCAGAATTGGGCTGGTTCTGGTGCGGGAAACTTCCCCAGAAGCTGCAGGCTGCCAACTTCTCGTTGTGTCCTCACACAGCAGAAAGAGATTACCTAGCTCTCTGGCCTCTTCTCATGAAAGCACTAATTCCATTCATGAGGGCCCCATCCATATGACCTAATTATCTCCCAATCTCCCAATCATCCCATCTCTTTTGGGATTAGGGTTTCAAACATGAATTTTTGGGGGACACAAACATTTAGATCATAATACAACCAAAGATCAACTTCCTTGGTTCATAGCTTGGTTTGATATCACATTCTGTCTCCTCATGTAAACGAGGTGATGCATAAACAAATGTCATATCCTCCATTTCTTCATTTTCTCCCTGATTGTACACATAAAAGATACTCCATCTGCTGGAGCAGCATTCATTCATTCATTCATTCATGTTGCATATCCACTGTGCTTTGTGCTGGAGATACAAAGATAATAATTCATTGATGTCTGTGAACCCTGGTGAGACAGGTAGCTCTGTACATGATGTAGGATACCTGTGATTTCTGCTACAGTTGAGTATATGCAGGGTGTTTGGCACATTGTCAACTTGCAATACATTTTCAGAGAATGGTCAGAGAAATAGTCCACACTGAGGTTGCACCAAGAAGGGCGCCTTCTTCTTTCTGAGGGTAGAGGGAGGCCCCTAGAGAGGGTGCTATGTGTGCTGGGTGGGGTCATGGGTAAGGAGCCCATCACCAACACAGCACCAAGAAAGTCTGCATGCCCTTAACCCTCTGTTTTGTCATGTCGTTGAACAAGACTGTGTACTAATTTGCTGATTCATGAGCCAAATCCTAACTTAATCAATTGACCTGAATCTCAAATGTATCAGCATAAAACTGGAAAACCAGATTTATATCTGAGCTGAATAGATTTGTTCAATGTTAACATTTTGTTGGATCTCTGGTGTTTAACCGGCTATGTTATTTCATGGGTTTTGATGGCCTTTCCCCTACTTCCCCATAACCCTAACTCCCACCCCTCTGGTCTTGGGACCCCTCAGCTTTCCGCAGCAGTCACATCCGAGTCTGTATCAAATGAAGCCATCATCCAGACCATGGGCCGCTGCTGGGAGGAGAACCAGTACTTGCTGTGCCCTCACTCGGCCGTGGCTGTGAGCTGCCATTATCAGCAGATGGACGGGCAGCAGCCCAGGTACAGGCCGTAGGCGCCAGGGTCATTGGGGGATTCTTTGCCTCCAGGTGCCCTCTCTTCTCAGGCAGGGATGACAAGGCTGGGAACAAATGGCTTAAAGGAGTGCAGTGTGGAACTGTGTTCCCAGAGGGGGTGCATGATAGATGCCCTGGCATCATGTGTGAGAGGTGCTCGTGGAGCTGGACCTCCATCAGGAGGAGCAATTTGCTGGGCAGGGGTCAGTGCTGAGTTCAAAGTACCAAACATCCGTCTCCTGTTCTTTTTGGTGCCCCACCCCACCTCTAACCTTCCCGGCCCCTTCTTTACCCATTACTCTATCTCTTCTCTACCTGCTCCTACCTGCCTCAATCCCCACAGTGCTCCCCAGTGCTGCCTGGCCCCTGCCTCTGCAGTCAAGTTCCCAGAAGCTGTCCTGGCTGCTGGGCTGACCCTGGAGACTCCTGCAGAGATCCTGGCCCTGGAGAGCAAGGAGACACGCTGTACCCCCATGCGGAAGGGTGACGACTGGACAGTGATGCTTCGGGACACGGTTGAGACCTTAAGCCGTCAGTGGGGGGGTCACTTCCTAAATGCCTCCCAATAGCCTGGCTGGAGTTGGATACCTTAGGCTCCCAACCCCAGGGATGTATGCCCGCTGAGCTGCTGGGCACCTTCTCCCTGTTAAGAATTGGTCTAGGAGATCCTCGGAGGCTGCTCTGTGCCATCACCGTGGTAGTAGTGTACCTAGTCACCTGTGGGGAGGGGGGTTGAGGGTGATGGCTGGAGGTGCACTCACCCCTCCTCCCCCCAAAACCCCAGTGCCAGAGTATGCTGCGACATCACTGCTGTTGGTGAAACCTTCCAGCCTGCAAACAAAGAATCTTGCGCACAGAGTCAACCTCGGCTCTAGGGTTAGGGCTCCAGATGCTACTAAACCTGTGCAGGTGGGGGCCACACACTCCACTAACACAGGCCTGGGGCTCACGGTCCCTGAGCCTTAGTTTACCTGCTCCCCAAGTCAGAGCCAGAGGTCTTGGTTTGACTGTGATACTTCCCCTTCCCCCCTATTAAAATGTTGGCACTCCCTGGAATAAAAGTGTGTGTTCAGCGTGATGGTGACTTCGCACAGCCTGTGGACAGAGACAAGAGGCTGGTGAGTGGCGATGGTGGTGCCCAGGTGTGAGCCATAGCCACCAGCAGCTCCCCATCGCCCCGGGTTGGGGGGCCAACAGAGCAGTTAGCATAGCGTGTGGCACAGGTGGTGGTCAGAGTTAAGGTTCAGGATCACGAGAGTTGGGCCGTGTGGGAAAGTGTGGGCCTAAAGGTACACAGCTTAGTCACTCTGTCGCTTATATACCTGCTTTGTTAAACCAGGGCTCATGTTACAGCAGTCAGAAGCTATGGTCCCTGTTGGCCACTAAATAAATTCCAAATACCCGCATTTCCGTAAGTACCTCCACAACCACCCTGCTCCAGAGAAGGTAAATTATTCTTTCTTGTGAAATTATTCTTCTCTTCTGTGCCTCAGACCCTGACAGGCCTCTGGGAGACTGTCCTTGAGGCCACAAGTTCCCATCCCACGGGCTATGGAAGTCTTGGTTTCCATGTCTTGTTTATTGCAGAGCTGCCACTCTTCAGTCTGACTGGGAATAATAATTTTTGTTTGTGAGCTCTGGCAGAACTTCTTTTTTTTAAAAAAAGATTTATTTATTTATGCATACAAGAACTGGGGTACAGACCAGAGGTGTGGGGGGTGAGAGAATTCACAAGAGACAGAGTGGGGAATAGAATAGGCAAATCTACTAACATACACTGCTGAGAGGAGTAGCGGGTGAGACAGGAGAGGTCTTCTGCACCATGTGGGTTGCTCCCTGGCTGGCCAGGGATGGAACTCATGCTGCAGTGGCTGCAGACAGCTTCATAGGTTGCATCTTAACCCCTTGCGCCACCAGGGAGGCCCTCTGGCAAAACTTCTACTGTAGCTTTGAGGACTGTATTTCCACCCACCTTGCTGGATGGTTCTCCATATTACATACTATCTCTAAGTTTCTTGAAGATGGGAACCATTGTTTAGCATGATGGGCTGAAACTTTTTTCATTTGCCCCTATTGTTTAAAAATTTTAAAATATGTTCTCAAAGATTTGGAAAAGAGAATCTATATCATCATATGTTGAAAGGATATTTTGTTATGAAATAGATTGTTAAGACTTTCTTTTCCTTTTACTCTGACAGTAAAGTTATGTATGCAGCTTGCCTTTGTGACTCATGGTTCTGTGGATGACAGTTGTCTGGAGCTTACCTTGACCTTGTGTACACATGGACACACTACAGGTAGTTGCAGATTTAGTTGCGCTACAGTGTTCAAATCCTATGTGGCTTGAGGGGGGTTTGAGACAAACACCAGCGTGGGAAAAGGACCCAGTGGGTGCCTGGACTCCAGACACCTCTCCTGCCCTGAGTTCTGAAGGCCGGGGTCACCCAGGTTGCTCTCTGCCTGCCGTACCCACAGCAGCACAGCTGCCTGTGTGTCTGAGACTCCGTGGCTCTCCTGGGCTGATGGGGAGACCAGAGGGCACCCTCTTACTAGAAACTTGACATTGAAGCATGGCATTCTGTACAAAGAGGATAGAATAGGGATGCTGGGCCCACAGGAGAATGGAAAGAGCATTCCTGAAGGACTGACAATGTCCCTTAGAGGCTACAGCACTTGACAGCTTCTGAGACGGCACTTCCCCAATCTTATACATGGAGAAATATCCAAGCCCCATTTATCCGTGAGGCACAATAGGTCTGATGCTTAGGGATCACATGAAAAAGTTTTAATTTCATTTAAAATCAAGGAAAAATGAATGTACTGAGCTTTGTTTATATTTATCTGTATACCGACACAGTTAATTGTACACAATGGGATTTAAAATTTTTTATGAAGGAAGACACTCAGGAAATCAAAAGTGTGTAGGACCCACAAAGTCAAAATGGGCCCTGTTAGGAACTACTGTGTGCAGGGAACACATTATAAAACTAATCTACTTTATTCTGACAACAAGCTCTGATGTAGGTGCTTCTATGATTTGCATTTTACAGATAAGGAGACTGAGTTGCTGACAGATGAGCTAAATTGTCAGTGTGGCACAGCCTAGGAGCTTGGTTTTAAGTTTGGTGTTTGTTTTTCATCACACCTGTTGCAAGCTGGTGACCACCACCATGCTCCACCACCTCTACCCTTCCCCAGGCCTCCAACCTGCTTCTGGACCCTCCTTCCTGGGAGTATTCAGGTCTGGATTTAGGAGCATGGCTGTGCTTCTCCAGGACTCCCACTAAGGGGTGCTGTAACCCTGCTTTTCGGGTCCTGGCTGCCACAGGCAGAATAAGCTGAGCCAGAGATACCTAACCCATGGCTGCCATGTTTCTGAGGGTCTCAGGGCAGTGTTGGGGGGCAGGGGGCATGTCACAAAACCCCTGCTCTCTGGATGTTTCAGAGTCCATTCTGGCTCTGAGAGGCTGTCACATTCCTCAGGTGACCCAGTTTAATGCCATTGCACACAATTAAATATGAGGCAGCAACTCAGGATATTCTGGCCACAAGGAATCATGGAGATGAGTGGAGGAGAAGGTCCAGTGAGACGGCATCTGCAAATCCATGCACCCCTGGAAACACACACAGACAGACACACAGGTGCACACACATATGCACATCTGCATACACACATTCTACTTAATGGCCAAAGCAAGGTTCCTGAAACCAAACAAAGTTAGAAACATGTTGAAATTGGCCTTTCTGAATTATCTGCTTCCTGGGGGTGTGATAACAAATGAATTTCATCTCCATGAGCCTCAGTTTCCTTATCTACTAATTATAATACTTACCTTGCTGTTTGTTTTTGAGGATTACATGAGATAATGTATTTCCAAGTGCTTGGTAAATGCTAAAATACCGTACAAATGGTTCTTGTTATTACCAGAATTATAGTCTGCACCAAACAATTTAGTACTTTTAAGCTATCTTGTATTTTTTACTAATTGCTTTACGAATTAGTCTTATCTTGCTTGTGAGATTGCCTCTTCTGTGAGGATAAAGTTCCTTGTGGTCCTGCAGTGCTGGCACGACGTGGGGGGCGGGGCTGGCATTGCCCCCACCCCAGCCACTATGCCCAGCAACAGGCTTTTCCATTTAGGGGCTGAATGTCATGGATTAGACAGTAGGTGCTCTGCTAGCCAGTTTACAAGCAGTGCCAGTCTGTTACGATTTGATGATGAAATTGTTCCCTTTCCATTACTAAGGTGCTGAGCCCTTTGTAAAGTACTTTCCAGATATTGGCTCATGTAGTCCTCAAGCCCTCTATGAGAAAGTGTGATTTAGATCTCCATTTTAAAGATGAGGAACTGGAGCTCAGAGAGGTCAGGTGACTTGCCTGAGGTCACCCAGCTGGTGGGTTGTGGAGGAGGGATGTGAGACTTGGTGCAGCTGTGAACTTAACCTCCACGACCTAGAAAGTGTGATTTATATTTCCATTTTAGAGATGAGGAACTGGAGCTCAGAGGGGTCAGGTGACTTGCCTGAGGTCAACCAGCTGGTGGGTGGTGGGGGAGGGATGTGAGGCTGGTGCCGCTGTGAACTTAACCTCCACAACCTAGAGGCCAGATGGCCTCCCAGTTCTCTTCAAATCAGCGTCTACACTCAAATGAAAGCTAGATGAGGAGAAAGCACTCTGAGGGTGGAGGAGAAGAGAGCAGACCCAGGCATAGGGGAAAGGCCAGATGTTTTGTGGTGGGGAGTCAGACCAGAAGTTTGCAGGGAGCTTTCCGTTCCCGCTCAGCATTGGGTACCTCACCTGGGAGCAGGTGTCTGCCGAGTTGACCAGGTGTTGTTTGGGAGGAGAGTGAAGAGAGTGTAGTTTGGAAGATTTTCAGCTGTTGGCAAGGGAGGCTCAGCTTGGTGGACTTGCTGGAAAGACTCACAGTGCTGATGGATGAGGCTGAGGAGATCTTATTAAAAAATTCCATGTCCTCAAATGCACAAGGGTAAGCAACACAGAGAGTGCCAGGCCATTAGCTTCCTGGAAAGAGGAGAGGGCTGACTTCTCTGTCTCGTGGCTGCCTTTGCCCAAGAAAGCATCTTCCAGATTTACCTTTCAAATCTTACTCATAAACCCACCTTTTCCACACCTGGGTATTTCCTGGTGTCAGGGCCCAGGAAAACGCTAAGGCCCATTGTTGTGACTTCCTACCAAGTTCTGGGCACTATATGGGCTACTGAGGGAAAGAGAACAAGCAGAAGATATGGCTGATTTATGTAGAGAGATAAATGTTGTGAAAACACCACAGGCTGCCCCAAGGCTATGAGGACTGACTCAAATGCAGGGTCTCAGGCAATCCTCCTGTGCCCTTGCACTCCCGTCCCTTAGCCACTATGGTCCTGTCCCATAATGCAGTGCTTGGTTCACAGATTTGCTCCCTACCACTTAAACTTTCCTTAAAGCTTGCTATCGTATATTCCACAAGCCAGGATCTCGCCACCAAACAGCCTTCACGGAGTGTGGCCTCTGTGAGTGGTTGATGGCAACACAACTGGCAAAAATTTCTGCAGAGTCTAGAAGGGGAAAGATGACCCCGCAGGAAGTGGGAAGTGGGCGTGAGGAAGAGTGAACTGGGCACCCAGGGGTCTGCCAGGCAAAGGGGGTCCTTCTAGATTCAGGACTGCTTTCTTCTCCTCAGTGGTTTGGTCGTCACAGATGTCTTATAGGTGACTACCCTGGGGAGGAGGAGGCACCTGCTGAGGCAGTACACGTGTTTATGCAGCTGGGGAGGGAGCTTCCTTCCCTCTGAATGAAAGCTTGCGAGCTGAGTGGCCAAGGCCAAGGTCCTATCACAGGTATGTCTCCTGAGAACTGAGGCTGGGCTCTGGATCCTTGGGGTCACAGTGAAATCCCTGGGTTGGGTCACTAGGAGGACCCACAGAGTGTCACCTTTCCCATGTTCCCTTTATCAGGGCAAAATTGTCCTCCAAATTTTCCAAATCCAGGATAAATGCAGCAATGATTCACAAGGCCAGAAGAGGGCAGCAAAACACACTCAAAATCCCTCTCCCTCAAAGATAACGCCCCTTAACCCCTCCCCCACCCAGACCCTTACCCCACAGGAATGCAGGTCTGATTTCTTCTCTGGAAATTGAGCCCCTGAGGGTCAGAGATGCTTTTTTAGTTCCTTGTTTCTCAAATTTAATATTGAGACCTCCCTCATTTAAAAGTTAAAAGAACAATTCACAAATGCTCCCAATGTGGTCTTATCAGTTGTATTTTGTAATAATGCTACTCAAATATATACGGCCACAAAAGTAACTATGAATTCCTTCTGCTGATAACCCCCATGGGAAACAGAAAGAAAAATTCAAATTAAATGAACAAATCTACAAACAGGTTCACAGTAACCTATTGATAGCTGTGATTCACAAGGTGCTGTGCTGGAGTGGCGGTTGCCTGTGAGTGCAGGACCTTCCTTGCTGTTGTTGCTTGTTGCATGTATTTCTCTCCCACCCGTGGTGAGATGACATCACTTTTCCACCACTTTCCCAGCCCAGCCCAGTATGTTGTGATGTCACGTGGTCTTGACTCCATCTCATCATATACTTGCACATCTGTCTGCCTATCCTTGCTGGTTTGTGACAATACAGCGTATTGTTGTTTTCCACTGTAAACACAAAAGCAAATGCAGACCCTGAAATGATTCCATAAGACTTAGTTTTAGGGTGATCAGGCAAACATTCTAGAAAATGTCTTAAAAAATTATCAAAATAGGGCCTCCCTGGTGGCTCAGCGGTTGAGCGCTGGGTTCCTAAGCTGCCCACAGCCTCTGCAGCGCTGGTTCGATCCCTGGCCGCCGGGTCCCACATGGCATGCAGACCTCTCCTGCCGCCCACTGCTCCCCTCAGCAGTGTATTTCGTCAGTCTGCCTGTTCTGTTCCCCGCTCTGGCTCTGGTGAATTCTCTCACCCTCCCGCGCTTCTGACTGTACCCAGTGCTTGTATAAATAAATACATTAAAAAAAATTTTAGAAAAATTTTCAAAATAAAATGACATAAGCAGTTGTTTGGGACTTCTTAAGCACTAAGAATGCATATTCGAAGTCCTGTTTGACAACCATTGCCTCAACCCTAGCTTTTAACAGATGAAGAAACAGGCTTGGAAGGAAGGACTGGCTCATGTGGCTACAGGGTGGGCAGCTAGAGAATTCCTCTAGTTTTGCAGGGAAATACCTCTTGTCAGCTCCTTCCCTCAGCCCACCATAGGTTTTGCCCAGGGGAAGGGTCCTGGGGATTCTCTTAGGGATCAGCCACCGCAGCCTGGGAGAGTTGCCTATTGGTTTCAAGCAGCTGTCTTCTGAAGCTTGGAACATGAAAGAAATTGTATGTACACAGGCACTGGCACAGATGGGGAGAGCTTGTGTAAAGCTTTTCCAGACTCCAGTTACATAAGTATATGATATTATAGTAAGCTCATTATATAAAAGCATGTATGTGTGTCAGGTGCTATATATACTACATGTATATATATATAAAAGATTATATTATGTGTATATATACACTCTATGTACTGAATTCTATTTTTAGTATCTGAACAAAACAGACCCAACCCTGCCCTATCTCCAGGAGCAGGCTTTTAACTTGGGGACTTTTAGCTCTCAAAGTGTCCATGGATAGAACTCAGGGTGTTTGAAGACCTGAATGAGAAAAAACTGCATCTTTATTTTCCTTAGCCTGAAACTGAAAGTCAGTATGTGCTTCAGCTGTAAATGCTGGCAACAAACCAATTAACATTAGCAGTACCTGGGACTCTGTCAGGGCTCGAAATCACAGACGTTTCATGTGATGTCATAGCAGTGGGAGATAGCTTGAAATATTATTGAAATATTATTAATACTCATGATGACTGAAAAAATATTAGATCTGACATTATGGTGTAACTTTTTAATAAATAACATATTTTTATATTGCAAATGTTTAAAAATAATTTGATCACTGTCTTTCAATGTAATTGTCTTCCTTTCTTATCCCATGCCTTTATTTTATTTATGCTTTTGAAGATATCTTTCCACACTGCCAAAGGATTGCATGGCATAGAAAAGCACCTTTCACCTAGGTGCAAATCTGTAAAGAGTTATCATTTCTGGGTATCAATGACAAACTGAGCATATGCTGAATTCTGCATATGTATCAAATCTCTAAATCTTACAACCATAAGAAGTACATTATTATTTCTCCTTTACGCATGAAGAGACTGAGATTCAGAGAAGTGCCTAATAAAGGTCATAATTGTCAAGCACTACAAAAGAAATGGGACAACAGGAGGGGAGCACAGTGTTTTGCTTCTTTCTGGTGCTGTAACCACCGTGCTGGTACCTTCTACAGAGACAGGGGATGGTTGTTGAGTGACCAGATGAGATCAGATAGTCTTGCCAGGAGTGGGATAGGGAATGCTTCAGAGGGAAAGAGAGTTGGGATGAGCTTCACTTGGGAAAATGCAAGCTGCTGCAAACTAATTAGGGTTCTCCTTCCCCATGCCAGTTTTAGAAAGGTCCTGTCACCTGGTGCTGACCCATTTCATGCAAGGGAAAGCTCCAGGACTGGCTCTGCCCTTTGACATTGGAGTAGGAGATGGGACATTTGGAGCTGCTGCATCTAGTCCCCATGAGGATGGCTGAGCAGAGGGGGCAGGGCCTTGCACCCCAGTGATGCTATGAACCTTGAAAATGAGCCTGCAGTCTCCTACCTCTGGACTTCAAGTTAGGGGAGATAATAAGGCTAACTATATTTGAATCCACTATAGGTGAATTTTCTGTACCTTGCCGCTAAAGGCATCCCAGTGAGGAGTGTAAAGAGGGAGGCTGGGGCCATATCAGAAGGAATTTCCACGCCAGACTAAGGACCTGGTGATTTATTGCTAGGGTTTATTGCTAGACGTGAGTGTGTGAGCTGGTATGTGTGGGGGAATTGAATGACTGGAAGAAGTGACTTAAATGATGTAATTTATGTTCCAGAAAGAATACTGTGAAAGGGCCTCCTTGGTGGTGCAACGGTTGAGCGCTGGGCTGCAAAGCTTCCCCCAGCCTCTGCAGCGCTGGTTCGATCCCCGGCCACTGGTGAGGGTCCCACATCGCGTGCAGACCTCTCCTGCCCTGCCCACTGCTCCCCTCAGCAGTGTACTTCATCGGTCTGCCTGTTCTGCTCCCCACTCTGGTTCTGGTGAATTCTCTCACCCTCCTGCGCTTCTGACTGTACCCAGTGCTTTTATAAATAAATAAATCTTTTTTTTTTTTTTTTTTAAAAGAATACTGTGAAGGCAGTGTGGAGGATGGCATGGTACAAAATGACTAATAAATTAAATTGAAAAATGAGATAAATAAGCAGACTGGGGTGGGGCTTTATTCTGCTCATGGTTTGATGAAAAAGAAAAATGGAATAAATAAATGTATGTTTAAATTGGAAATTTATTGGAGCATTACTTCCTTGGAATGAGCCCAGTGTCAGACTCTCAGAGGACAGGCTTGGGGGCTGTGCTATGGCCCTGCCTCCCCCAGTGGCTGTCAGCAGCACCACGCATAGAAAGCCTCGCTTAGGTGCTAGGAAACTTCCCTTTTAGCACGAACAATTCTTTGAAAATTGATCATCTTTCTATGATATTAGTGTTTAAGCTCAGTGAGTCAGGATACACCCCTTTTATTTCTGGGTTAAAGAAAGTTTGCTTTGGGCATGCGGGTCTGTGCTGTGATCTGCTCAAGGGGTTGGAGCAGATGGTTCTGGGGGCAGAGGGCTGACCTATGAATCAGGGGATCCCATTCCTGCTCCTGCTTCTCCACTATGCTGCTGGGCTCTCTCAACCCTCTCAGCGCCGCAGTGTCCCGCTGTGTAAGGAGTGGGGTGGGCCCCTGTTACGCATTACTTCCCATGTCCTGGACTCTGAGACCCTCCTTTGGGGGTTATCTTTTACGTGCACTTGTTCTTCAGAGGGAGGGGTTGGGATTCCTCCAAACAAAGCATTTTGTTCTGTCTTGGGTTTGGTGTCAGTGACCAGTTAAACATTCCATGTGTATAAAACCCCTACTATGTGCACAATATCGGACTAGGCACTAGGAGGCATCCTATGGGAGAAGACAGCCCTGCTCGCCAAGAGATTCCAGAAGACTCTTGCACGGCACGCTTTCAGCATGCGCCACCCACGCAGATATGAAGTGGTGGAGCACTAGGCAATTTCCTGTGGTGGTTCTGAGGAAAAGAATCATTGTACAGGGCTTAGCAGTTGGTAAATGCTTCCTAGAGGAAGTGAGTCAAGTCTATTGGCCAAGGGAGGCCAACTTTGCCCAAGGGAATTCTTTACTAACAGTTGTGTCCCCCACCACCAAATACTCAAATGTTGAGGTTCGAAAACTCAGTTCCTGACAGTATTTGGAGGTAGGGGCTTTAAAGGGAAAATTAAATTAAAACACAGTCTTTACGGTGGTCCTTAATCCAATGACTGGTGTCTTTATAAGAAGAGAAGATGGGGACACAGAGGAGTGGCGTGAAGACACAGGGATGAGCATTTTCAAGCCCAGGAGAGCAATCTGCCCTCGCAGCCCTCAGAAGGAACCAGCTCTGTGGACTTTCTGTTCTTGGACTTGCAGCCTCCAAAACCCAGATACATTTTTGTTGTTTAAATCACCAAGTTTGTGGTACTTAGTTAGGGCATCCCAAGCAATGAATATTCTCCTTAATGCACACTTTTTAAAAATGATATATGTTTTTCCCCTCCACCATCCCTGTGTCTTCTTGTCTTCCCCTGCCCCCTTAGCCTCAGTATTCTCAGAATATGTGTTGATGTCTAGCTTTTGAAAGTGTTTTATGTTGTTGAACTGTCTTTATGTGAATGTCTGATATTTGTTTTTATCATTCTGACTTACTCTGCTTTACGAATTTCTCTCCATTTTTTTGAAAATGGCTGCATTCCATCCTTTGTTGTGGCTATATAATACTCCATGATGTGGATATACCATATCTTGACTCATTCATCCCATGAAGGAGATCCAGGCTGCTTCTTTGTCCTAGCTATTGTACAATAATGCTGTTGTGGATGTTGTGGATATTGGGGAGCGCATGGTTTTTTTTTTTAATTGATAGTCTTATATTCTGTGAATATACATCCAAGAATGGGATTGTTGATATGTATGGTATTTCTTTTTCTAGTTTTTTAAGGTAAATACAGATTTAGTATACTTTTGATCTTAGTAAATATAAATATACATTTAAATGAAATATATGTTCTTGGAAGATGCTCATGCTTCATTTGTGATCTAAAGTCTACCCTGTGGCTCCACTCAGTCAATAAACATTTAAGGAGCACTGGCTATATACCAGGCATGGCTTTAGGCACAAAGATGTGATAAAATACCTACTCGGGAGCTTTCATATTGGGGGACATAGGGAGCAGGCAATAGAGACATAAATAAGCACGGTAATTTCAGACTGTGATAAGGCTGTGAAGGAAAATAAACAGAAAGGGGAAGATGTGAGGAAGATCGGTGGGTGGTCAGGGCAGGGTCTCTGGGCTGCCCCCTAAAGATGAAGACTAGCCAGCCAAGCACAACAGCATGTCAGGGGGAAGTCACAGGTCAGGGCAGGGACTTAGAAGTTGGCTTGGGTGTTTGAGAATCCCCAAGGAGATAAGTGTGGTTGTGGCAGGGTATAAAGGGGACAGAGGGATGTGATGAACTTTCTGAGCCTGGCAACATGCAGACTCTCATAGTCTCAAGAGACGCTTGAAATAAAATGGTTTCATTTACATGTTTAAAAGATCAGTCTGTACCATATGCTACAGCAGTCCCACTGGTGGGATATGTTCCCAAAGAACTGAAAGCAGGGACAAAGAGATATTTGTACACCCATGTTGTTATTCACAACAAGTGAAAGATGCAAGTAACCTGGTATCCACCAATAGATGAGTGTATAAATCAAATGTGGTGCATCTATAC